TTTTTTTTTTTTTTTTTTAATTTAAGGGGTTAGATCATTTCTATAATAAAGAGCTTATGCAGAGTGAAGAAAAGGAGAGAGGGGAGAGGGCAGAAGAGGGTGGAGAAAGTTTGGGAGCATTCAGCAAATCAGAGCTTTGGGATCAGCTGTGCCCCACGGAGGACCTGGCACATTGTAAGCACTTAAAAAGTATTCGTGGAATGGATGAGAGATTGGTAGAGGAAGAGAAGGGATTTTGGGAATCTGACTGTGGTTAGACATCGTACACCCTGTAACATTCTGTGAGAAATCCAAGTTAAGATGGGGATTCTTTTTTAGTTACTTATGTAACTAAACTTTGCTGCTTTGAACACAACTCTTTGTTGAGTCTAGGCCACAGGGGCCCTGGGCACATGGTGGGTTAGGATAAGGGTGGCCGGGTAGGGGCATCCCACTTAGCGTGGCGGGTCAGGTAAGGATTTCTCTAGAAGGAGAAGCCTCAGTCGAGTCTTACAGTCAGGAGAAGGGAGACATTAAGGGAGAACAGAGGGAAACAAGGGTAGAGGAGAAAGAGGCTTCAGGGTGAGCTGCGTGGGTAGCTACAGCTTGGAATCTCAGCCACCTGGGCCGCAGGTGTAAGTGCTGCGGCGAGGGGGATGACCCTCAACCAGACAACGGATCATGGCGGGGTCTGTATTGAAGTTTTCTCATGGGGCCTTGTGGAAGGCGAAGTCCCCTGAGGACCCTGGTCCTCATCACACTGGCTCCTGGTCCCGTCTGCCGCGTGTCTTTTTTTTTCTCTCTTGGACAGATACTTTTATTTATTTGTTTTTATTTTTTTATTGAGGTAATCTTGGTTTATAACATGATATAAACTTCAGGCGTACATCATTCTATTTCGACTTCTGCGTAGACTCCAGCAGAGGGCGCGCGGGCGAGCAGGTGCCGAGGCCCCGCACCGCCGCTCTAGCCTAACCGGGTCATAGAGTCGCGGCGCTTCCGGCCCGGGTAGGGAAGGAGCCGGAAGTCCGGCGGGCCCCCGGCGTCGAGATGGACGAGGGCGAGTACGAGTCGGTGCTCTGCGTCAAGCCGGAGGTCCACGTCTACCGCATCCCGCCGCGGGCCACCAACCGTGGCTACAGGTGACCGCCCGCCGCCGGTCCAGGCTGGCCCGACTTGACCCCTTCCCCGCCGCCCGACACGCCCACTGCGGGGGCGAGGGCGGCCCCGGCCAGTTCAGGGGCGAGCGGGGGGGGAGGCTGCGGCGTCTTCAGTTGGAGGCCGGACAGGGAGGGGGACGCAGACTTTCAGCCGTTTGGGTCCGAGGCACGGGGCTCCCGGCGACAGGGAAGGAGGACGTTAAAGCCGGGTCGAGCGCTTGGGGCCCCGGTGGGCTGCCGGGTACCCTAAACGTGGTGGCGAGCGGTGGTGTCACAAGCCTTTTCTTTCCGCGCTGATGGCCTTGAAGGGATCCTTGAAAAGCCTTAAGGGGGAGGGGCCCTATCACTGGCGGAAATCCCGGAGGGCAGGGAGGGGAGCCCAGAACCGGCCAGAAGGACCCGTCCCGGGGCGTTGAAGCTGATGGCCAAGCTGAGGGACGCACCCCTGCCCAGCTCCCTTCGCGCGAACTTCGTCTCTCATCACAGCCTGTGGGGAGGGCGGAATCCAGCCGCATTTCTCTGCTGAAATGTTCACGTGAGACGAAATGTGCTCGTAAATAGAGTATCTGGAATGGAACAGGAAACTGCCCTACGGTGGGGGACGGGGCTCCGAAGGAGACTTCCTTTTCGCTGGACGCATTTTTGTTTTGTCTGCATTTTGTTACTGTGTGTATGTATTACCTCTCAAGAAGACCAAAAATATTAAAAGGGAGAAAGGATACACCTGATTCAGACAGTCTGGCCAGTGGCTATTTCGTGCCACTCGGGTGTGAGGGGGCCTCTTGAATGTGGTATTTGTGCTGGTTATTTGGAAATAGAGGATTGGCCTGCACCTCAAGAATGATGGAGTATCCACATAGCTGGCCTCTTGTTACTTTCCAGTTGTGTTAGCACCTGCTCGTAGCCGATTTTCTAGTGAACAACTATTTTATTGAACAGCTACTACATCCATGACGTAATTGTAAAGTCGTGTGAAAGGAACAACAGTAACAATAACAAAAACATTTATTTTCTCTCATCAAACTGGAGATGGGCCACGAAGCCAGGGGTGGTTGTCTCGCCCCATCCCCTTCAGTAGGATGGGTTTGGTCCCTCTTGGTCCCCCAAAGAGAGGGGTTACCGAGTGTCGGGGCTGGCTGGTTGGCATAGAGGAAACTGCTGGCCCCTGCACTTTAGCCTCACAGCTCTGCTGAGCCTGCGTCTAAGGCTCGTTGCCCCAGTAAGAGGAACTGAGACTGCGTCGGCTGTCTTGTGAGTTGAGTGTCTGCATTTGTGTGGCCTTCAAAGCAACTTGCCTTACAGTGTCTCTGAGTTCTTGAGAGCTGGCATGTGCTTAGGGACTTCCAAGAAAAGCCTCCTGGAAGCACCCAAGATTCCTGCAATTTGGGGGTTTTACTGAGCTGCTGCTTAGAACTAAAATGTGAAGTTACTGCTTTAAAAATGCCAAAAGAGGCCATTGCTATAGGCCCATAGTTTTCTGGGTTCTTTCTGCCTAGGATACCTTTGAGAATGTATTTCTTAAACACCCACTCACTTTCCTCACTGGAACTATTTTTCTCCTTTTTTCTTTCTACTAATGATTGCTCCCCTCTGTCCTTTTCCTCCAAAATGGTCTCAGCGGTCCCAAATGGTCACTCTGACCACTGCAGCCTAGCAGTGTCTTAAACAAACAACAGGCCGCAGTAGCTGCTTCCTCTACAGAAAGAAAACTAGAAGTCCTTCAGAAAAGGTCTCTATAATCTAGAACAGGAGTTGGCAAACTACAACCCACTGTGTTTTTGTATGGCTCACAAGCTAAGAGTGGTTTTCACATTTTGAAATGGTTGGGGAAAATTTAAAAGAAGAATATTTGATAATGTGAAAATTATATGAAATTCAGATTTTAGTGTCCGTGAAGTTTCACTGAAATACAGCCAGGCTTCGTAGAAAACGTTTAGTTGAGATACTTAAAGTAGCAGCTCTCACGTGCTGTCTGTGACGGCGTTCAGTGGCACTTCACTGGCAGAGTGAGTGGTTGTGACAGAGATCTGTGGCCCTTTGCAGAGAAAGTTTGCCAGCCCCTGGTCTAGAGCCAGCAGCCCACATGCCCTGCCCATTGCTGTCGCTGGCACTGGAGTAATGGAGCAGGAGCCTCTGGCGGAGGCTCAATCGTTTTTGTCCCCTAGGGCTGCGGAGTGGCAGCTAGACCAGCCATCATGGAGTGGCCGGCTGCGGATCACTGCAAAAGGGCAGGTGGCCTACATCAAGCTGGAGGACAGGACCTCAGGTAAAGGCATGGGAGGCCTGTGTGGGGCCCACTGTGTGAAGGGAGAGGCAGCCCCGGCCTGGCCAGGCCTCTCGGGGGTCTTGGGAACCTGTCCTGGAAATCAAAGACCTGGGTGTACCTTTCAGCCTCCTCCATTCCTGCCACCTTAGTTGTAGACACCACTGTCCCCCGGTGTAAAGGGGAGTATTTCCTGTCAAGCGTCTGTTCCTTCTGGGAGTCCTTAAGAAAGTACTAATTTTGGAGCCCAAGGAGAGGAGACCTGCAGGTTGGTCCCAAGTAGGAAGCCCCGGAGCTTGCTGGGTGAAGATGCACAGCTGTCTGCTGCGGAGCTCAGTTCATACTCGGGACTTCTGTTTATCAACTAAGTGGTAACTCCCCAGACTGACCACGCCCGTTAACTAAAAGAGCTGGAAACTGTCCTACTCAGCTCTTTCTGTGGTGAGAGGATAAGCCAAGCTGGGCTGTGTTGGGGTCAGCTGGCAGATGTCACCTTTGGGGAAATCTCTCCAGGAGTTGGGCGCCACCAGTGCCTCTGGGTGAGCTGTGGAGGGCAACACGGCCTGGAGTAGCCCCAGCCCCAGCGCAGGGATCAGGCACAGTGCCTGCTCGATCAGGTGCCTCGGCGTTCAGTCATTTATTTTTTCTAACATCTAGAGATTTTCCTTTGTGGGGAAGAACAAAGTGCACAGATTCATAGGCAGAACCAACTGCCTCTTCTCAGAGCTGGGTCTCTTGTGTCTGAGCTGTGGGACCTAGGACGAGCCTCATGACCTCTGGTGCCGTGGCCTCCTTTTTGTTGGAATGGGGATCACATTAGCTCCGACCTCACAAGGTTGTTGGACATATGGAGTGGACACATATTTATCCAATTGCTTTGTGACCTGCAGGGTGACCCAGAGCATTGATTTGTTTTGAGCATGGGGTTTGCAGCGTGAGTATTGACTGGAGAGGCGTTTGAAGAGAGAGCTGCCATGACTAGGCCGGAGAACTTTGGCTCTGAGATTTGCTGAGATGTCCCCAGGTGCTGTCACTTGGGGAATGGCAACACCTGTTCTCTGGGAGCTTGGAGAACATCTGTTCTCTGACCGCCTAGTGTAATATCCACTGCCCAGGGCTGAGCCTCACCTGCAGGACCCACCCCAGGATGCTCCTAGCTTGGGGTCGTGCCCACTGGGTCATGTTTGTCCTTCGCTTTCCAGTCACTCTAGGCCAGGATTTCTCAGCCTTAGCACGAGGGACGTTTGGGGCCAGGTGAATGTTGTAGACTGTCAAGTCAAAGTTAAGCTGTTTAGCAAGATCGCTAGCCCCTACCTACCAGATGCCAGTAGCACCCCCCATGATATGACAACCAAAAATGTCTCCAGATGTTGCCAGATGTCCCTTGGGGGAAGGGGGAGCAAAATCACCCCTGGTTGAGAACCACTGCTCTGGGCTGAAGGCATTCAGGTGAGTCTCAGATCCCCAGCTACCAAGCTAGGGGGCAGAGAAATTGACAAGAAGCTACAGACTCTAGGGCCACTGATTTTGATTCAGTTCAGCCTTTTTTTTTTAAAGATTTTATTTATTCAGTTTTTTCCCCCCAAAGCCCCAGTAGATAGTTGTATGTCATAGGTTCACATCCTTCTAGTTGCTGTACGTGGGACTCGGCCTCACGTTGGACGGAGAAGTGGTGCCTCGGGGCGCTCCCGGGATCCGAACCCGGGCCGCCAGCATCAGAGCGTGTGCACTTAACCGCTAAGCCACGGAGCCGGCCCTCAGTTCAGCCTTGATTGCACAGTCACCTCTGAACCACAGGATCCGGTAGAAAATATTTGGTTAAATACTTAAAGCACCAGCAGAAGTCAGCACATGTGGAAATGATACCAGGCATAAATGCTCACGATACGTGTGTGTTGCACTGTGCCATGGGGAGCTGTGGTTGACGATGGGATGCATTTCACAAGGGTTCCTTTTAAAACCAATCACTTTTGTCCTGTCTTTGAAGTTAAATTAAATCAACCTGCTTCAGATTTTTCTATGGGTAGAAAAACTTTGTCCTTTCCACTGGGTTCACCAGCTCCTCTACAGTCCTGCCTCAGGTACCAGGCCTTTTCAGAGGGTGTAATATACCTGGACCAGGACTCACCTGCTCCGGGACCCTCAGGGTGCAGGCAGGTGATGAAAGTGGGTGAGGCAGATGGAGTGAGTGTCTGGCCCATCATTCTCATGTGGGAATGGAGGCCCCACATTGCTAGAGCTTTTGATTTTAAGAGAAGCCAGAAATCTGGATTATTTTACATGTAATTTGATTGTGAAATGTTTGGCACTTAAATTGTTACAACTGTGAGCTAGATCTGACCTGTAAGCCACCTCTGACTTTCCTTCGTTATGTTCCTGTGTCTTCCCTTCAGCCAGAACGGATTTGTTTTGAATCCCAGAGTAAGGTTTGCCCATCTGCCTTGCAGGAAAAAGGCCCCAGTAGTATGATAGAAACATCAGCCTGGGAGGGAGCTCAAGGTTCACTCTAACTTTTGCTTTCAGGGGAGCTCTTTGCTCAGGCCCCCGTGGATCAGTTTCCTGGCACAGCCGTGGAGAGCGTGACGGATTCCAGCAGGTACTTCGTTATCCGCATTGAAGATGGAACGGGTAGGTGCAGGTCTTGGTGCTTCCACCTCTTGAGAAAGGTTTCCCTTGCCTCGGGAAAGTGGGACTGATCATGTCTTGTTCCCCAGGGCGACGGGCGTTTATTGGAATTGGCTTCGGGGACCGAGGTGATGCCTTTGACTTCAACGTTGCATTGCAGGACCATTTCAAGTGAGTGGTTCCAGGAGACACGTGCTCATGCCTCCTCCCTTCTCTCCCTGGACAGAATGATTTCCCAGGTTAGGATACCCAGCTGGGTGTGTGTGGTTTGTCTGCCAGCAGAGCCTCAGGAAAACTCACTTTTCCTTTCGGGCAGGCTGCTTTCTGTGTGCTCTGCTGGTCCATGTCTTTGCTTTGAAGTCAGCTCCTTTTCCCAAGGCCCATCTCTGTCACCCCAGTAAGCTGGCCCAGCCTTTGAGGTGTCACATCTCTTCCCTCACCAGGCCCCTGAGCAGCCGGAGTCCTCATCAGGCTCCTGTGGCCTTTCTGGGCCTGTTCCTCCGTGATGTAATAAGTGGTGCTTGGACTCCCAGGCCACCCAACAGGTGCCCTGGTGGTCCTTCCTGAAGCTAAAAGACGGAGCAGGAAAGACTGCTCTCCTGCCATCCATAGGCCTCCACCTCTGGCTGCCAGCAAGTGGGGAATGTACAGCTGCTCACGTGGGTTTCTCTGGCTCTTCCCTGACGTGGTGCCCCTGCCCCGGGTCGCTACTGGATGGGTGTTGTATGGAGGGTGGGGGGTCTTTGTGCTGCTCTCTACTTCCTGGACATCTGCCTTGTCTCACCGTTTACCTTATGAGCCCTTAGGAGATGTGTGGAGACCTTGCCTTAGTTCTCATGCCGCGTGCTGGGGAGGAAAGGGCTAGATTCCCAGGTTTTCTGAAGACCAGTGTTAGGACCCTCTGCATCAGTGATCTCATTGGTCACTGATAACAGGCTTTAAGACATAGAGAATTGTCATCTTATTTTGCTGATGAGGAAACTGATATGCATGCAACTGCTTATGTGTCAGAGCGAGGATTTGAATTTGGGCCTAACTCCCAAGCCTGCGCTCTTTCTACATGGCTGCAGTGAAAGCCTCCTGTCAGAGTGAAGGCAGATGGGACTGAGTGAGGGAGTGGGTGGCAGGCAGCTGGTCTCTTCCTCACCTTTTTCTTCCTGTTCTCTCCCCAGGTGGGTGAAACAGCAGTGTGAATTTGCAAAACAAGCCCAGAACCCAGACCAAGGTCCCAAATTGGACCTAGGCTTCAAGGAGGGCCAGACCATCAAGCTCAACATTGCGGTGAGTCCCCCCCTCGCTTGGCTGTGTTGCCACGGTCAGGTGATCCTTGTGGCCACCACACCAAGTCCAGCCCGGTGCCCAGCACTCTCTTCTCGCAGTTCAGTTCCATCAGTTCAGCAGATGTTTATGGGGCAGTTGCCCTGTGCCAGGTGCTGTGCTGGGGCCGAATGAGAGGGCTCTGCTCTCAGAGAGCTCAGAGTTGAGCTGAGATGGGCAAGATGTGATGACAGCATGGCAGGAGAGGGTCTACGACCTAGGAGTGTCCTCAGTGCCATGAGCTCCTAGAGGAAGGGCATGCAGCCCAGAGTTAGGGAACCAAAGAAGGCTCCCTGGAAGAAGTGACCTGGAAGCAAGGGAAGAGGGGTCAAAGGGTGGTTCAAGCACGGGGAACATCAGTCACTTGCTGCCAGAGCTAGCGTTCTGTCCTGGCTCTTAGAGCAGGGTCATTGTGCTCATCCCAAGTTGCATCTTGGCCTGGCGCCTCGAGTAAGGAAGACTTGGGAGAGCTCTGGGCAGGAAGGCATCGAGGTGGGTGCCAGGGGTCATGGGCAGCTTCTGCTGGAGGTGGTGTCCTGACTCCACGTGTCTTCGTCCTGAACTGCCCTGCGCCTGGGTTTCCCCCTCTTAGCTCCTGTTGAGAATAGGAAAGGGCTGGGCTGAGCTCGGTTGCCAAGACTTGGCCTTTACCTGGCTACAGGGGTGGACTTGGAGTGATTTGGGGGAACCAAGGACCAAATGAATTGTTTTTGAAGAAACTTTGTAACCCTGAAATAATGCTCTTCCTCTTCACTTACTCTCTCTTTCTCCTCTTTTCTGCTTCGTGCTGGTGATGATTTGGGACCCTTGAAGTTGGCCAACTGGCCTGTAAGAGAAAACACAGGTCATATCCAGTGGACTGGTGGGGATGTGATTCTTTCCTTTACTTGGTGGAAACTAACATTTAATGAGCATCAGCTGTGTGCCAGGTAGTGTTTTTTTTTTTTTTTTTTTTTTTTTTTTTTTTTTTTTTTTTTTTTTTTTTTTTTTTTTTTTTTTTTTTTTTTTTTAAGGCACTTTCTCGTATGAATTAAACATCCTCCCCCTTTTATAGACGAGGAAATCGAGGCTTAGAGAGGTTAAAGGACTTGCCCAGGGTCGTAGAGCTGGGAATCACCAGCACAGCTGGACTCACACTGAGGGCTTCGAGGGCTTTTGACTTCAGGGCTGCGGTCTTCTCGTTTGATTAAGCCGCTGCTCTCCTACAAGTAGGGAACCGTATCCTGTTCCTTTTTGTAGCTCACACGGGTTTCTGGCTTGCGCTTGGTGCTCAGGTTTTTGTTTTTTTAATGTTTTATTGAAGTATGGTATGCATATAGAAACATGCACAGACTATAAATGCAGAACTCATGAATTTTAAAAACCAAACTTACCCACACAGACTAGCCCCCAGAAGCAGAACATTATCAGCACTCTGGAAGCCCCTCTCTTGCTCCTTTCTAGTAACCGCCTGCCTTGAGTGACCACTATCCTGACTTTGAATACCCTGGGTTTTGTTCTTAACTTATTAGTTGAATCATAAACTTCATACCCTTTCGTGTATGGCGACTTTCTCTTACTGATGTAATTGTGAGAGCACCTGTGTTGTTGCATGTAGTTTGTCCCTTCTCATTGTGGTGGCATATTCCATCATGAGGATGTGTCCCATTATTCACCCATTTAACTGATGGACACAGTTCCCAGTTTGGGGCTCTTGCAGATAGTGCTGCTGTGAATGTTCCAGTGCATGTCTTTGGTGCACATAGGTCTGTATTTCTGTTGGGTCTATGGGAGTGCAATTGCAAGGTCATCAGTTCATATGTTCAGCTTTATAGATTGTTTTTTTTTCTTTTTGGTGAGGAAGATTGACCCTGAGTTAACATCTGTTGTGAATCTTCCTCTTTTTGCTTGAGGAAGATTGTCCCTGAGCTAAAATCTGTGCAGATCTTCCTCTATTTTGTTGTATGAGGCTCGCCACCGCAGCATGGCTTGACGAGTGGTGTGTAGGTCCGCGCCGGGGATCCAAACCTGCGAGCCCTGGGCCACCGAAGCAGAGTGCGTGAACTTAACTACTACACCACCTGGCCAGCCCCGTAGATTCTTTCAAACAGTTTTTCAAAGTAGTTTTCCCAGTTTACACTCCGCTAGCAGTGTATGACTATTCTGGTTGCTCTACACCCTTATCAATACTTGATATTCTCCGTTTTAGCCATTCTGGTGGGTGTGTAATGGTATAGCGTTGTAGTTTTGATTTGTGTTTCCCTGACGATTAATGAAGTCAGCTGCTGAGCTTTAAAATTAAAAGTCTTTGTGGCAGCTTTAGAATTGTGGTGCATTGAATACAGCTCATAACAGCGAACGTGCCGGATGCCTCTTGACCGTCTGCTGGTTACACAGACGTGTGGGGCCTGAGGGTCACCTTGGCCCTCCTCCTGGGGCTTTCTGATGGCAGTGGGACTCCAGCAGAACTGACTGGTTCCCATTCCTCTCCTCTCTTTAGAACATGAAGAAGAAGGAGGGAGCAGCCGGGACTCCCCGCGCCCGGCCCGCCAGCACAGGAGGACTGAGCCTGCTTCCCCCTCCCCCGGGGGGGAAAACTTCCACCCTGATCCCTCCCCCTGGGGAGCAGTTCTCTGTTGGGGGGTCTCTCGTCCAGCCAGCAGTTGCTTCCAGTTCAGGTCAGTGCTTGGGGGTGACTACTTACTGCTAAACCTGCACCTGTGGGTTCCTCTGCCCCCTGGCAGCTGGGGCCCTGTGGCTTTCCCTCCTTCGCTCACCCTGATCCGTCATTTAGTACCTGTGTGTGACACATTGGAAGGTGGCCTCCACAAAACTGATCCTGCCACGCTGGGTAAGGGGTTCCTCTGTTCTCCTGATACCCACCACTTACCCCGTCAGGGCATCTGTCCTCCCATGATGGGCAGGGACTGCAACTCGTTTGTTGCTGTGAAATCATCAGCACGTGGGTTCCTGGCTGTCAGAGGCTGCTCAGGGGATATTGAGTGAGTGGGTGATGGAGACACGGTCTCTGCTCACAGGGAGCTCATATCTAGTAGGAGAGAGGGGAGTTGTGGCCACAAAGACTAAATGTATGGGGACCAAACTGATTGCCAGCCAGCATGATCTGGGGAGGCTTCATGGAAGAGGTGGCATTGAGCTGGGCCTTGAAGGAAGGAGATGGCAGGGGACACTTGACATTCCAGACAGAGAAAAGAGCGTGAATAAGGCTCAACACCTGGTGTATTTAGGGAGCTGGCTGCAGCATGAGTCTGCCAAGGTGAGTGGTGGGAAATAAAATTGGAGATTTAGTTTGGAGCATGCTCCTCAGTGAGGCCGTTGGGGTGCTGGGAAGCTAAGAGGCAACTTCCCCAGCACAGCTTGCCTTTTGGAGACTAAGGAATGCCTTTTGGAGACTCCTGCATTCCAGAAGTTAGTGCCTAGAGCCAGCCTCTGACGATGCTGGGATGCCAGCCCATTCCCTCGACCTCCCCATCCTGTCCGCTGGGTCCAGCTTGATGCTCCTGGCCTTCCCCAGGCTGGGTGGCTGTCACCAGCACACTTTCTCCACACAGCTCTCACCAGGTTCTTGGGGGCAGGATCCTGCCTTCTAAGGGCCCTGGATGTTGGCTTCCCCATTTGGAGGTCAGGCTTCAAAGCCCAGCCCTGTGGGGAATACCCCAACCTAGGAGAGTGGCAGCAGTTGCAGTCACCGAGCCCCTGCCCTGGCACCAGGAGTTACTCTTTCCCTGGCACCGGAATTGTTCTTTGAGCATTGTGTCCCAGAGTGGGTTCGTAGGACCACCTTCCTAGGTGTCGCTTTTGGGCGGGGGCAGGAATCTGTGTTCTTAATGTTATTTGCGTGCTCACTAAGGCCCGAGAGCCCCTGTGTTAGGCCTTCCCTCGGTTGCTGGTGCATTTTTAACGACTGATAGGAAGTACGTGCTGTGTCCAGGTAGCATTTTAGGCCCTGGGGACACTGCAGGTACAGCACCAAGTCCCTGCTGTCAGGGCTTCAGTTCTAATAGGCGAGATAGGCAGTTAGCATGTCTGCAAACAAGATGGTGTCAGATGATGAGAGACGTGAATTGCTAAGATTCATTGAGCACTTACTATATGCTCCAAAACCAGACTGGCTGAGTTCACATTCTAGCTCTCCAGTTGTGTAGTATTCAGATAATTGCCTACTTCTCTGTGCCTCGGTTTTCTCATCTATAGGATGTGAGTGGTAATGATACCTACATACAGGTTTCTTGTGAGGATCAAATGAGCTAATCCACTCATAGCACTTACAAACAGTACCTGGAACACTGTAAGGGCTCACTGAATGTTAGCTCTTATTTTATTAATATTGTCATCAATATTGTCACTATGTGCTGGGCCTGTTCTAAGCATTCTGCATATGTTAACTCTTTAATCCTCAGACCAGTCCTATGAAGTAGTCACTGTTACTGTCCCCATTTTAGAAATAAGGAAACTGAGACTTAAGTGACCTGCATAACATCATACAGCTGGTCCCAGCCCATCTTCCCCCAGGGACTCTGGTGAGGTTAAAATGAGATAATGTACGTTAAGCACACTGTGAACTGTGAAACTAAACTGTTGAAGGCCCTAGTTTATCTGGTCTCCCAGCCCGGAGCAGATTAGAAGTAGCAAGTTGGTGGGAAAGTGGAGGGTGGCAGGCACAGGGCCTTCAGAAGGAAGGGACAGTTGGCAGCACTGGGGGAGGTGCCCGGTAAGCACAAGCAAGCTCTGCAGCCCCATCGTGCCACCCACCGTGGTGAAGAGATACGCACAGATAGTAACTTCTGTAGTACCTCTTCTGGAAGGTTCTCCCGGACCCCTAACCACTTTGGCTCCCAGGACTTGGTGCATGTCTGGCACATAATTTTCTCATTTGATTGATCCAGACACTGGACTGAAGGCTTTATATGAAGTGACCTTGCATTTTTGGTGAGCATTCTCCATTCAAGAAGCCAGGGCAGGAGAGAGTAATGTTTAAACAGATTTCTAGCATAAGCAGTTGAAAACAAGGTCAGCTTTAGGTATGAGTGATAGATGATGTGTGACTCGCCCTCACTGGCACCCCCTCCCCTGCCCTGTATGTGGCTTTCCGCTTTTTCTCCAGGAGCCTTCAAGGGCTCGTGAGAAAATGGTGGAAATGTGGCAGTGCCTTGGTGTTTTGTTGCCCAAAAGCACGTGTGTGTGTGTCTTTCTCAGCCACCTGGAATCATGAGACTTATTTCAGGGTCCCTGAGACAGCCAACAAGAGAGGTCTCTGACTTCTCCGTCTCCTCCTCTTCTCTCCCTGCCCGTCGGACTTGGGGACATCAATAGGAGGTGCCACTGTGTCCTGGCCGCAGCCTAAACCTGCCACTACTGCCACCACCGACATCTGGGGAGACTTTACCAAATCCACAGGGTGAGGAGGGTCACGTTCTTTGTGGTGGGACTGGGGCCAGGGCTGTTTCTCTAAAAACCTGGGATTGCTCCAGATGCCTGCCTTCTGACGTTTGGAGCAATAGCTCTGATTAGGACGTTTTCACGCCAGCCAGCGGACAGAGCCCCAGAGTGCCTGCTTTGGGTGGCACATCTCTCTCCGTGAAGGCTTTTTGTTGCTCGCCACTGCTAGATGGCCTGTGGCCACCTTGTGAAAATTTTTCTAGTCTTTAAACCACCTCACCAAGTGCTTTGGCTTGTCCCCAGTACCTCCCTCTTCCCCCGCCTCCCCCCAGCTACCCCAAACCCTGGGCTGAGGGTTAACATGGCTTCTAGTCTTGTCCCATCCTCAGGGGACCTCTGAGGCAAGGTCTCTTGCCTTTTCTGCCTCTATAAAATTTCAAGCCTTTAGTTGAGGTCAGGGTGCAAAGATGCTAAATACCTATTGCACCGTTGTTTATATGGATAGGCTGTAGGACAGGAGTCAGCACACATTTTCTATGAAAGACCGAATAGCAAATGGTTTAGACTTTGCAGGCCATATGGTCTCTGTTCCACCTACTCAGTTCTACTCTTGTAGCTCAAAAGCAGCCACAGACAGTATATAAATGAATGAGCATGGCTGTGTACCAATAAAACTTTATTTATAAAAACAGGCAGAGGGCTAGATTTGGTCCCTGGGCAGTAGTTTGCTGACCCCTGCTCTAGAACATTCAAGGAATGACTTCTTGGAGCTGTTTCTGCCTAGAGAGAAGCCACATTTTATCTGCTTTGTGTTTTCAAACATCTGAACTCTCCCACCCCTCCCTCTCTTCCTTTTATAGGTCCACTTCCAGCCAAACTCAGCCAGGCACAGGCTGGGTGCAGTTCTAACGTGAATGCAACTCTTTCCTCATACAACTTCTGGAAAGGAGCCGCCTCATCTGGGCCAAAGAAAGGAGGATGAAGCACTCCCTGGCCAGCCTCTGTTTGGAGCGTGACTCTATCCTCTCCTCCTTGCCCTGCTCTCTCGACACACTGGGCATGTTAGGCAGTAAATTGGCACCATGTCACACGGTGTCCTGGGATTCACGCATGCAACCAGAACACAGGAGAGGAAAAGCTCCAGGATCCCTATCCCTGTCTGTCCTCTTGACATGAGAGAGACTGAGACTGCTTCTTCCATCACAGTGACCCATATTAAACACAAGCCCCCAAAGAAAAGAAGGGGTTGAGTTTGCTGCCTGGAGTCGGATCAGCCCTTCTCAGGGGTTACAGGTGTCACGTGATCACTGTCCAGAGGGGGGACTTTGTGCCCTCCCATTGGCTGTAGTTACTTCAGTCAGGGTGCCTTCAGAGGAGGGATTCCTTCCTGATTTCAAGCAGGTTTATAGGCTGCAGCTTGAACAGACAATCAGGAGGGAAATTGGGAGTATTAACCAGCTTTTAAAAAATTTGTAATACTTGCTTTGCTAATGTACTGATCTGCACTAACTTGTCTTTGCAAAAGTGACTGCCCCAGCGATATCCCCAGCAGGGACCTCCGAGAGCATTCCTCACTGTTGGCGCAGGAGCTGCCCTGAGCTGCAGGAGGCAGTGTTCCTCTCGGCCAAGGGGCCTGGTTTCCATGTCTTCCAGGCCAGGTAGGCAGTGCAGGGCCAAGGCAGGCACTGGAAGCCAGTGTTTGGGCGGGAAAGTGGAAGCTGTTCTCATGGAGGTGAGTGGTCTGGCCTTCCTGTCCACTGGCAGCTCTCCAGGTTCACAGGCTCACAGTGCAGTTCCTGGTGGACTTGGGTTCCCTCCTTGGTGGTTTCTGAAGTGCCTTGTCTGCAGACAACCTCTTACTTTCTTTTCTCCTTCAGGGACTGTACATGACAGACAGAAGGAGCTCTGAGTGAACTGGAAGTCTGGGGTTGCCTGTATTACTGGTTTATGAGAAATAATTGTATCTGAGCACACCTCTAAAATTGCTTTTATTGACATACTTTACCTCTTAATTGAAAGATTTTTTTTTTGAAGGGTCAAGACAATGAACTGAAAAAAGTGTTGGCCTTTTTGTGGGACCATATTTCTAAGATAAAAAATAAATATTTTTACTTCTGTCATTTTACGTCAAAGATGAACATGTTTTTGGTGGCATGGCTGCTAAACCCTCCAAGATGTCACAACTAGACTCACAGCCACCTCTCACCACTGATCATGTGTCCAGATTTACAGTCTGGGGTAAGGATGTCAGATTGGCCAAAATAAGAGAATTTGGCCCTGTTGCCCTAAAACAACCAGTAACTTCTCTCCTGTGCATCTAGAAGAATAGTCTTTTTGCCATTCTGGGACATTCTGGGCTCCTTGCCTTCTAATGTGGGACAGGCCTCTGCCTCCCACCAAGACCTCCCCAAGAAAGCATCTCCCTAAGTAGTACGGTTGTACAGGAACACAGAGGCCAAAACATAAAATAAAAAAGGCTACGGCACTTCTCGTGCCTGAAGGTTCTGTAAGAAAGATGCAGTTTTTATTGTTGGTTGTGGAAATAGCCACTCTGGCTGATAACATGAGAGAGGAGAAAGAACACTAAAATAGAAGATTGTCGTGCCCTTTGAATAAGGATAAGAAAATTGTGTCAAAAGAGCCTCAGGAGTAGTCAGCTTGTTTGTGTCTGTTGCCCATTATTTCCCCTCTCCTTTCTAAGTGCTTGGAGGCTGGACGTGAGGAAGCTTAGACTTAGAGGAATCCCTTCCTTAGAGGTATGTACCATTGAAGGTAAGCACTTGGGTTCTGGAGACAGACCTGGGCTTTGGATCTAGGCTGCGTCCTGGTTAGATGTGTGACCACAGGCTCCTTCCTTAACCCGGGTGTCACTCAGGTAAGGCATATGAGCACTAGCAAGTGCCCATCCTATAGTTTGACCTTAATCACCTTTGTCTAGAATCAGGTAACAGCCAGAGCCGTTACTCATAATGGTGATGAAGAGGAAACAGCCATCACGGATCTAACCTGAAAAGCACCTTGAGGGGTCTGTGGGGGGCAAGGGACAGTTTGGTGCTCCATCACCAACAGGAATCCCAGCTGAAAAAAACCTGCTGTGGGACCAGGGTCCCCAGGAAAACCCCTGATGCCAAACCAGGCATGTCTTCAATTAAACCCCTGACTGAAGCTTCTAAATTGGTGGGGGGGAGGGGGCCTAAAATGGATGATAGGAGGTGGGCACTCGGTTTGGGGGTTGAGAGACCTGAGCTGCTCTATTCAGCGGGAAGATTTGGATAGACGAGAGGTGCGGCAGACGGACGCTAAGGTGGCCCCCATGATCCCCACCTGGTGTTCACACCCTTGTGTAATCCCTTCCTTTGAGTGTAGGGTAGACCTGTGACTTCTAACCAGTGGAGTAAAGCAGAGATGACAAAATGTTGCTTTCATGATTACATTGTGTAAGATTGCAACATTTGTCTTGCTGAGAGATTCTGTCTTGCTGGCTTTAAAGAAGCAAGCTGCCACTTTGTGTGAGCTGCTCTAGTCGAAGAGTCAAGGTAGCAAGAGCAGCCGACAGCCGACAAGAAGATGAAGCTAGTCCAGCAGTCTGCAGGAACCCACTGCCGCCCAAACCACCTGAGCTTGCAAGCCAAGCCTTCCGATGGGCCCAAGCCCTGGCCAACACCTCGATTGCTGCATTGCAGAGGACCCAGCTAAGCTGTGCCCGGCCTCCTGACCGACCATAGAAACGGAGGTAGTAAATGTGTTGTTTTAAGCTGCTAAGTTTGTGGTAATATTGTTCTGCAGCAATAAATAATTAATACAAGAAGGGAACCAAGTGTATTTGAGGTGGGAATCAGTGTGAGAAAAAATCTGGGCCGGGGGCCGGCCCGGTGGCTTAGTGGTTAAGTGTGCGTGCTCTGCCACTGGCGGCCCGGGTTTGGATCCCAGGCGCGCACCGACGCACCGCTTGTCAGGCCATGCTGAGGCCACGTCCCATGTACAGCAACTAGAAGGATGTGCAACTATGACATACAACTATCTACTGGGGCTTTGGGGGAAAAAAAGGAGGAGGATTGCCAATAGATGTTAGCTCAGGGCCAGTCTTCTTCAGCAAAAAGAGGAGGATTGGCATGGATGTTAGCTCAGGGCTGATCTTCCTCACACACACAAAAAAATCTGGGTGGATTTAATGGCTGTATGGCCTTGGGAGGTCCCTTGACATGCTCCTTTGGGCCTGCTTTCCCCCTTACATTGAGGGTAGCTATTGCTTATGTAACACTGCGCTGGGCGCTGTTCTATGTACTTAACATGAAGCTCATTCACCCCAGCAGCCCCACAAGGTAGGCGCTGATCCCTGTTTTACAAATGATGAGATGGAAGCACAGTGAGATTATGTAGTTTGCCCAAAGTCATGTAGTTGCTCGGAGGCAGGGCTGGGATTGGAACCCAGGCAGCCTGGCTCTGGCATCTGTATTGATCTACTTGAGATGCCTACAGGGCCAGCACATAAGACCTGCTTAATACATGACACTTCACATTTCCTCCACGTGGATTAAGAAAGCCATACTACGGCAGAGGCTGAATGACTGGCCGAGGGGTGGGGCGTTCTTCGTAGGTGATTGGAAGCCACTGAAATGCATCATGGGCATACAGTAGGTGCTCAATAGCTGTTGATTTCTCTGAGCAGGAAGTGTCGGGAAGATACTATGTGGGCAGAGTGGACCGCAGCAGGGAGACCAGTTTCTCCTCACTGCAGCTTGAATGCAGATAAATACTTGCATGTTTTCTTTCTGATTACCCATGTGATGCAGACAGGAAAACAAAAAAAATACTAATCATCTGTAGTGTTATCATAGCAAAAGATTGGAAATAGCCTGCATGTCTACATTAGTTATCTGTGCTGTGTGACAATCACCCACAAACTCAGCAGCTTAAAACACACATCCACCGTCTCACGGTTTCTGTGGGTCGGGAGTCCGGGTGCGGCTTGGCTGGGTCCTCTGTCTCTGCATCTCTCTCAGGCTGCCGTGTCATCTTAAGGCTCAAGGGGAAGGGTCCACTTCCAAGCTTACTCCTGTGGTGCTGGCTGTTGACAGAGGTCACTCATTTTCTTGCCACGTGGGCCTCTCCATAGTTCACAACTGGGCAGTTTGCTTCATCAAAGCGAGCAAGTGAGTGCCAGCAAGACAGCCATCAGTGTTATCTCAGAAGTGACATCCCGTCACGTTTGCTGGATTCTGTTGAGTGGAAGCAAGTCACAGGTGCTGCCCGCACTCATAGGGGAGGGGATTACACAAGGATGTGAATCCTGAGGGGCAGGGATCATGGAGGACCATCTTAGAAGTCTACTTATGTGCTAGTTTCCTATGGCTGATGTAACAAATTACCACAAACTGGGTAGCCTAAAACAACAAAGTGATCCTCTCCCAGTTCTGGAGGCTAGAAATCTGAAATCAAGAGGTCAGCAGGGCCATGCTCCTTCCAAAGGCTGTAGGCAAGAATCCTTGCCTCTTCCACCTCTGGGGGCCCCGAGCATTCCTTGGCTTGTAGGAACATAACTCCAGTCTCTGCCTCTGTCTTCATCTGGCCTGCTCCCTGTGTCTCTTTGTGTGTCCTCTCCTCTCCTCTCCTTGTAATGACACGCTGCTTTGGATGTAGAGCCCACCCTGGATTTAGGTGGGCCCTAAGTCCAGGATGATTTCATCTCAAAATCCTTAACTAATTACATCTGCAAAGGCCCTATTTCCATGTAGGGTCACCTTCACAGGTATTGGGGCTTAGGACTTGAACATACCTTTTGGGGGGACACAATTCAACTCACAGTCTGCCTACTCCAGTGTCCATCAGTTAAGGGATGGGTTATATAAATTTAGGTACCTCCATATGGTGGAATACCAGATCCCTGAGGGCAAACAAAGAATGAAAAAGCTCTTTATGTATTGATGGGAATGATCACTAAGCCATAGCCAAGGCAGGCAGCAAGGTGCAGAATAAGGAGTAGATATAATATGCTCTCTTTTGCATATAAAAATGGGAAGGGAAAAATACATCCTTTATGTGCCTAAAATATCTCTGGAAAGATACACAGGAAACAGCACCCCACAAGTTGTCCACAGGGGGAGACTGGGTGACTAAGAAACGGGGAGAGACTTACTTTTGATTTATAACTTTCTGTACTATTTAAATTCAAACCAGGGACCAGCCCGGTGGCGCAAGCGGTTGGGTGCGCACACTCCGCTGCGGAGGCCCGGGGTTTGCCG